AATAAAGTATATCTTCTTCTTCTTAAGCCATTTTCTGGTCAAAGCCCTTTTACACCCCACTAACAACACACTCAAAAGGTATTTGTCCCGACTAACTTTGAAATTTAAAAACATTTAATAAAGTATTATGATTCTGATTCTATTAGCTGCTTCCAGTTCCCCTACTGTAAGCAACAAGGATGACAGGAAACCTTGTGCTGAGAATGGAAAATAAATAGTACAAAGCTTTGGGAGAAAGGAACAACAATTGTTTCGAGTAGTGAGAGTGTGTGTGTTAGTACCTGATGAAGAGAGGACTTGGATGACCCAGAGGCAGGCTGCAGCTCTCCTGGCATGGTTGATGTTTTGTTTGAGCAGATTCAGAGTCAGCAGCACAGCTCCAGCCTCCTCTGCTTTCATACCTATACGGCGGTCTGTAGAAACAAAGATATACACAAATATTCATCATTCTTGAATCTGTTTATCTGATTTAAAAAAGATTGTTGAGTGTTGTTAAGCATTTAAACAAATGTTTTTGCATTTGAGGTTTGCATTGTGTGTAGTTTTTACAGCTCTTCATTTATCCACTTCACCTATGTGTGGCTCTTTTGGCTTACAAACACACATATCGGTAATTACTCGTGTACTAATATTTGCACACATCAACTTAAAAATGTATTTTGTCAAGAAACACAAATGTATGATCACTGTGGAGGCTGCATCAGCTGTTAATATTTCTTTGTTTACATTTTACACACAGACCTTTTTCAAAAACAACACTACATAGTCTTTTGTGTTTACATATAACGCTTTTTTACACATTCTTGTACAGTAGGCACCTTGAAGCTGTTTTTGATCTGCTATTAAATCCAGATAAGAAGATGGAACACAGGTCTGTTTGGATATGTTGTGTTTTGATGAAGCCTTAGATTTTATATTGCTTTGTTGACCTCATTTGCGTTCAGGCTCTAACTTCTGTAGCTTATTTTTCTAGTGAGTCATATTAGGATTTATATACTTTTACTATTTGTTATCAAATTTGTAAGCCTTATTAAAGCAATTTTTCCTTTTTACACCTTTGTTCTTTTGTCTTTTGTTGCTTGGTCCCTGAAAATCACAAACAACAAAAGCAGCCATTAAGGAGCTGAGGTGGTTCAAGCATGTGAGAAGGAAGCTTCCTGTGCACCTTCCTTTGAAGGTTTTCCAGGCACGTCCAACTGGGAGGAGACCCTGAAATAGACCCAGAAGGCACTGGAGAGACAAGGGCTCAATCCCAATTTCCACACTCAAAGAATCACAGACTTTGAGGTACGTTCGCAGTAAGTCCGCAAGGGTTTAGGGCTGTCCAAATGTCAAATTACGCATGAGGGTTCTCCTGGAGACATTTTGAGCACTGTATCCACATTATCCTCCATAAGCCAGCATTTCTGCAGAACTTGCTTGAGGGAATTATCCACAGTTCATAGCATTGTGATGTTAAACATGTGGGTACCAGGAGAAGTAAAATTCCATGCATGTGTATGATGCTTTATTTATACAGCACAAACACATTTCAAAGTCCTTTACATGACTGAACAAGTACTCAGATCCTTTACTTAAGGTCATATATATATGAGGTTTAGAACATTAATAAAAGCAGCAAACATCTATTTGCTATCTAAATATATAGTGGAGCCATAGTGTTCTTAGCCGAGAATGACACTCCCTCTCCTTGATCTCCAAGCATTGTTCACTTCTCCGCTTGTGCTGCACGTGCATGTCAGTCTCTCGATGTGCATCTGTTGGATTTGAAGCTGTTTCTGTTGAATCTGCTATCATGTACACCAACATCTCAGAACAGACCAGACTCCATTGATAAAACCAGTAATTTTACCTTGCAGATAATTGTAAAACACACTTCAAAAAACAGAAGCTAACTGCGCCCGTGAAAGTCCATCCACTATCACTAGTAGTTTCTGCCACTGACAGACAGGTTGTTAATGTCAGTGTCTGACAGCATTATAGAAAGGATCNNATGTGTAATGTGTGTGTAATGTAACATTAGCTAATCTATGGGGACAAAGCCGCCTGTCAAAGCGTGTCTTCTAATAGTGCCACTGACAGGCAAAAAAAGTGTCTGGCAACATTATGGAAA